ACATTTGTACAGGGAGCCAATCTAATGCACCCTTCACCTCTACAGCCATAGTGCAGGAAGGGCCCCAGCATCTGGTGCCAGTCATCAGATGTACTCTGCACACCTAGGAGCAACCAGAGTCCAGGTGCAGAATGTGCCCCTTGACATCTGTGCAGGGTACAGAAGGTGACAGAGATACCCTACACTACCCCCCCCCCCCCAATCAAATGCTTATGGGCAGAGTACAATGCGTCAGTCAGATGCACCCTGCATACCGAGGAGCACCTACAGCCAAGAAGCCCCCCCCCCCCCCCAATCTTCTGGCTGTCTGAACAGAGTAGGGTATAGAAGGTTCTGATCAGATGCACCCTGCACACCTAGGAGCACACACTGAACACACGTGTAAATGTCCACATGGGATCTTCCACTCCTGTAACCATTGCAGTGTTAGTAATTTTATTACCCCTCATGGCCACATCACATTATTACTTTAGATACACTTTGCAAAGTACCTGTAAACCCTATATGAATGAGAAATTTCAAATGCAAAATAGGTTTTTTTTTTTTTACACTTTGTGTCCTTTGTTGCATCTTAATGCTGCTTGATATTCAGCAGTTTTCAACCTTTCTACCCTTTTTTATTTTTATATACCTTTTATTGATTGGTGCATGTGGCTACCCAAGACAGGTTAGCTGATGGTGACAAGGGTGGAATCTGCTTGTGTTCGTAGTCTCCATTGGGACAGCATGTGACAGGGTGACAATGCTAGAGCACAGTAGGGAGGCAGAGACAGGGTGCTGTCACCTGAATACAGGAAGTTGCAGATTAAAAAATATTCAAAGTTACTGTTGGTTAACATGCTTATGGTTGTGTGAGATTTTATTATATTAATGTTATATTTATTAAATACAAATGTGATTTTTGTCACTACATACAGGGGCAATAATTTGTAACTCCTGAATTCTTTAAAAATGTTTATATCTAAAAAATATATTGTAATAATAATACCATATTGTCCTCATATAAACTTTTTCATTGTTTTTATACAATGACAATAAAGTGTATGGTAATTATTTCAAGAAATCTGTACAATAATAATCTGCCCATTAAAGACAGTTTCTTGTGTATTAAAGAGGTCTGGAAACTGGAGGGAAATGGAAGTCATAAATTACAGTAATCAGATTTGTATATAATATATATGGCCGTGTCCCTGGGAATCTTGTCAGTTGGCTTTGCCCCAATGCAACCAATGTGTCTGGTCTATGGGGCCAAAAACAACATGTTGCACCAACAGAAGCTCCTGCACCCTTTTCCATGTCAAGTATAGGTGTGTTGCATAAGTTTAAATGGAACTCATAGACTATAAAGGGATTCCTCTAGTGACTGCTTAGGCATGGCAGGCCATATAGGTGTGAATGGGGACTTCATTTTTCTGCACTGCAGCTCTCCACACTGCAGCGTGGTGCATAGATTGAATGAATTGCCATTTTATGACCGTTCAATAAAGTTGAAAAAAAAAAAAAGTAAACCACACCTTGTAGAGTAACAACGCAAAGCGTGCTGACTGATATGAGCGAGCCCTCAGCGATCTAACCCCTGGTTTGCACCAGTGCGTTTTTTAGTGCTTTTTGCAGAACTCATTACAGTCCATTTAACATGGTTTCCTATGGGACATGTTCACATCTACGCTTTTTTGTGCTGCTGTGTTTCTGGAAAGGGTCAGGAACTTTTTTAAATGCAAAAGGCAGCATTTTGGTACAATGGAGTTCAATGGAGAAGCTGCTGAAACGCATGTAGTTTTTACTGTGTTTTGCCTTTTTTTTTTTTTTTTTTTCTCTGCCCAGCAACAAAAAAATTTCCACTTTAACAAAAAAGCTGAAAAAAAAAACACAAAGTGCGTGTATAAAAGCACATTGCAAAAAGCATTCTAAATCGGATCAAAAGCATAGGTGTGAACCCAGCCTAACAATAATGAAGAATTATTTTGCATTAAAAACCAAAGAGTTTGTGCTGTTGGTCAGCTTCCAGAATTGTTTTCGGGTGCCAAACCTGCAGATCTGATTTGTATAAGGATCTTTTTTTTTTTTTTTCACATAGAAATGGAGAAATGAAACCAGAGGTGGGATTTTATTATGTGGAGTCTCAGGATAAGGACAGAAAAAAAAGCTTGCTAATCACAAACCTCAGCCATGACCTAGGTGATTGTCAGGGTGATATTCTTCTGGATGGTTGTCTGACCTCACATAACCTGATTATTTGGGGTTACAAAAAGGTCACCAGTGACAGGAGGAAGTTGTTTTATGTTGCTTTGTGTTTAGTTATATTTAACCTCTTAAAATGTGCATTATGTTCAAATGTACTTGTGGTTATAACCTATTTATCTGTTGGTAATAGGTTCTTTGTTCTATTGTGCTAACAAGGCATTTTTCATTTAATATTCTCACCAGGCTAAATTCATATTGTAAACAACTATCATGTGCTGCTTTCTTGCTAAGTGAAAATGTCTACATCTGTGCTAATGATTAAACTTTGGAGTACTTTTACATGTACATATTTCAGTGTGAATCTGTGTGATCAAGGCTGTTGGCCTCTGTTGTGTGCTGTTAAATAGTTGCGTTTGTTGCAGCAGTTCTGGCTGTGCGTTCTGTTTCTGCAGGTAATACAAAGCCCTGCTCTGGCACACAATGAAGGCCTGTCTGTGCTTTGCTGCATTAAAGGCAGCGTCTGAAATTTAAGGTGTTCCTGGTTCCAACAGTTCTGTTCTTTCAGCAGTATCTGCACACACCTCCTTCCTTTTTTTTTTTTTTTTTTTTTTTTTTTTCTTCAGCTCTTTGATTGTATTTTCTTGGTTGCTTTTTCCATCAATGTGTTTCTAATTGTAGGACACAATGGGAGAATCTAAGCTAGCATTATGTTTCCTTTTTATTATTTTTAAGTGCTGCATACCTTCATGTCATTCAAACAAAACCTATACTAACATAGAAAATTTTGGCAGAATAAAGACCGAGTGGGCCTTTGAGTCTACCTGTTTTTGTATTTATTTTTTTTTCATTTGTTTTTCTTTTTTTAACAATTTTGTCTTCATATAGATCTATGTTTGTCCCAAGCATGTTTGAAGCCATTTACTGTTGAGTGCCTCACTACTTCTGCTGGAAGTTTATTCCAAGCATCCACTACTCTTTCAGTAAAACAATACTTTCTAAGATTAGTTTTGAACTTTCCTCCAGTACGTTTAAGGTCATGTCCCTGTGTTCTCGATCTTGGCTTCATATTGAAAATACTACCCTCCTGAACTTTACCCCCTTGATGTATTTAAAAGTTTCAGTCATGTCTCCCCTTTCCTTTCTTTCCTTCATGCTGTATATATTAAAGTATCCAAAACTTAAAAATAAGTCATAAAGTGGAGAGGGGTTAGAACACTTAGTTTTTATTGCTGTCTGTGCTCCTGTTAGGGAGATTCACCTTCTCTATTTGTCATGTTTACTGTGACCAGTGAAAATAAAGGAAAACCCCAAATTTTGGGTTGTCCCCAGAAAAATGTCAGAGAGGAAATCTTCCAATGGGGACACTAGTTCTAGTGACCTGGGGGACCTCAAGGAATTCCCTTTGCAGTGACTTTTCTCTCATCTCCTGTTTGGCTATGGGACAATAAGTGAAGGTATATCTCCCCAATGGGACACAGATGGCAAAAAATAAACTGATAGGGGTTATAACCCTCCCTTACTCTATCCAAAATGAGAAAAAAAAAAGTTTTGCTTATAGTTCTACTTTACGTTTCTGAAGTCTCTCCCAATATGTTTTATCCCCCAGACATTTCACCATTTTTGTTACCTGTCTCTGGATATGTTCTATCTTATCAATATCTTTTTGCAAGGGAGGTCTCCAGAACTGGACACAGTGTTTTTTAAGTGAGGTCTCACTAAAGATCTATATAGGGGAATACAGACCTCCTTCCTCCTGCTGGTGACCCTTCCAGTGATGCATCCTAGAATTCTGTTTGTTTTCCCCACTGCCTGGTCACACTGTTTGCTCATTTTGCAATCATCTGAAATAAGTACCCCAAAACCCTTTTCCTCTTTAGCTCTGTCCAACACTGTATCCCCAATGTTGTACTGATACGCAAAGAAATATAGTTTAGATTTTTTTGGCCAAAGTTTACTGCTCTTATGTAAATTTTCTATGGTAATTATAGACCTTCGTATGATTAAAGAAACTCTGACATGAGAGAAATATGGAGGTGTTATTGCTGACCCATATTTCTGAAAATGCTGGTTGCCTGGCATAATTAGAATTAGTTGTTTTTGTTATTGGCTTGAAACAAGCTTTAAAAAAATTAAGACTGTTAATTTTTTCTTTTCCTCTTGTGTGCTACATGATTATTCTTTGTCGGTGCCTTGGTGTGGAAGATAGAGAACTTTTATTCTCAGGATTGAACAGTCAAAATATTTATTTTGTGATGTGTACTTTAAGCACTAGCCTACAGGACACTTATACCCCTTCCTGCCCAGGCCAATTTCCAGCTTTTAGCGCTGTCACACTTTGACAATTGCGCGGTCATGCAACACTGTACTGTGACAGCTTTATTTTGGTGGTATTTAATCACATCTGGGTTTATTTTTTCTTAAGCCAAAAATCACTGAAAATTTAAAAAAAAAAAAAAAGTTTTTTTTTCTCAGTTTTTGTTACAAAATTTTGCAAATAAGTGATTTTTCTCCTTCACTGATGAGGCTGCACTGATGGACACTGGTAGGTGGCACTGATGGGCATTAACAGGTATCACTGATGGGCACTGAAAGGCAGTACTGTTAGGTAGCACTGACAGGTGGCACTGATGGGTGACACTGAAAGGCAGCTCAGATGGGCACTAATATGTGGTATTGATGTGCACTGGAAGGCACTAATATGTGGCACTGATGGGCACTGGCAGGTGGCATAGATGGGCACTGACAGCTGACACTGATGGACACTGACAGGTGGCACTGCTAGGGCTACACAGATCATCAGGGCACACTGATCATCAGTGCCCTGATGATCAGTGCACATGTCCCCTCTGAGGGGCGCCGAGTACCGGCTCTGCTCTCCTCTCGAGCTGTCAGCATGACAGCTCGTGAGGTGAGAAATGCCGATAACCGGCATTTCCCTATTTACATGCGATCAGCTGTGATTGGACACAGCTGATCATATGACCGAGCTGACATCTTCAGCTCTTTCCGTTGATCGGTGATCCGCTCTATCCGAGGGACACAGTGCGCCACCGATCGCTGCGCATGCGTGGTTAGAATGGGATGACGTCCTCCCAGAGCGAGAGAACAGCCTTGCGCCCGTCATTACACTCTATGGTGGACGGGAGGCGGTTAATATAACAAAAGTTAAAGCCAAAGTCCAGGTTAGACTAAAGTAAGTATGCATATTCCATACTGTACCTGTGGTACCTTTTTGTGGAAGGAGAGAATCGCTGTAGCAGTCACTGATACCACAGTAATTGTCATGATGTTCCCGGGCTCATCCCGAGCGACCGCCCTGTTGCAAAGTGACCTCGGAGCTGCTCGCTCAGCACAGGTGCCATTTACGCCTTTTTGCATTCTCAAAGAATGCAACGGTTCTCTGACTGGATGAAATGGAGATCATGGAAACACTTTTCTACCTCGTACAGTCAGAGAATGCCTTGATGCACAAAAGTTATTTAAAGCTGAACAGCTAGTCTTGTGATCTAGCCCCTGTACCAGACTTTGGGATTAGACAAGAAGCAGTAGCAAGCCGTTGAGATCATCATTCTCTTTTCAGGAAGCTCCTGATGAATGTTTAATCCAGTTATAAATTCATTAAATTGTGCTCGGCTCTGAAAACCTTAAGGAATTGCTTAGAAAACCTGTGTAAATAAAGAGAATGCTGGAGTACTTGAGAAACAAATCAACAACAGGGTAAGGCTAAGCACTGGTTTTATTAAAAGGATACACTAAAAAATATCAATGTGTACAGTGGTACATATGTGAATTTTATATGTACATGATGTTGTCCCCTGCAATTATGTGAGCAAAGAAAGTAGAGTGAACCTGTGCAGACAGAATTCTGAAATCCACCATTGAAGATGTGGTTTTCAAAGTATTTATCATGACTTCATTAATTAGGGAGTCAGCAGCTTTGAATTTAACCTGCTTACATTTCCTGGGTCAGTAACTCTGTCAGGGGAATTCAGCAAAGTCCTAATGACAATTTTCTGGCAGTAGTTTTTTCCTTACAGTGACACTGAGGCCGGCCATACATGGGTCGAAAATCGACCGATTTTTTTTTTTTTTTTTTTTTTTTTTTTTTTTTTTTTTTTTTTTTGTCCAAAAATCGTACCTAAGAATAATCTGCCGATTTACGCTCTGGTTTTCGTGGTTCCTCCCCTTTTCGGTGATCGGGCATGTTGGAAAATACGTGAAAACTACCTATTTTCAACTCAGTGATGGTCAAATCGTACGATCATTTTTCCGAAAAGAATACGCGCATGAGCCGTGACCTGGAAGGAACAGAAATGTTGCATGTTATATGGGGTGAACTTTATGACTTGGTCGGTCAATATTCGAAATCAATGATGGCACCATCGGATTACTGAGCGAATGACATTTCTGATTTTCGGACAAAAAATCGTTCGGAATTCGAACCATGTATGGCCTGCATAAAGCTTTTGTGCAGTGTTTTTGCACAGAGCAGCCTCGAACCACTTCTTTTCAGGTCCCTGCCAGCACTCCTGGCTCTTCCACATCGCGCAGCGCCCCCAGGGAAAGCTGCTCACCCTGGGGGCACCCCTGCATGCTAGAACCGGTGCTCTATGCGTCCATAAGACACATAGAGCCGTTGCTCCCCTTTCTCCCGCTGCTGTCTCAGCCAATGAAGAGCAAGAGTCCCCAGTTAGCAGAGGCTGTCAAAAACATCGCTGGATCGAAGGAAGCTCAAGTAGGGATTGGGGGAGCCGCTGCACCAGAAGGTTTTTTTTTAAGGCTACGTTCACACTAGCCTTGTGTGCAGGCGGCAGAGAGGCGTTTGGGAAGCGTTTTTTTACCGCTTCCCAAACGCCTCTGCCAACTCTGCACATTACAGCACATGGTGCTGTTCTAACAGGAGCGTTTGCGTCGCGTTGCGTCACGGCAAAACGGACGCCTCTGGTCGAGTCAGGAGGCTTTGAAGCCTCCTATTCTCGTCTATGGTGCCCGCTCCGCAAACGCCCGGCCGGCGTTTGCAGTGCGGTTGCGACGCGGTTGCGGGGCGTTTGCGGAGCGGTAACACCACTCAAATGCATTATAGGCGTTTGTGGGGCGTTATTAACACTCGGCAAACGCCTAGCAACCGCCGCTAAAACCGCGCATGCGGCGTTTGCGGAGCGTTTGCCGAGCGTTAAAAACGCTCCGCAAACACCGGACCAACGCTTGCCAAACGCTATAGGGGCGTTTGGCAAGCGTTGGCAAAACAGCCTAGTATGAACGAGCCCTTACCCTCATGCATAGAATTCATGAAGGTAAAAAACCTTGAGCCTTTAGAACCACTTTAACCACCTCCCACCCACCATAAAGTCCAATGACGGGTGCAAGGTGGTTCTCTCATTCTGGGTGGACGTCGTACGACGTCCTTCCATTCTCACAGCGCATGCGCAGCGGTGCGCTGTGTCCCTTGGACACAGCGGATCACTGATCTATGGAAAGAGCTGAAGATGTCGGCTCGGTCATGTGATCAGCTGTGTCCAATCACAGCTGATCACATGTAAACAGGGAAATGCCGGTTATCGGCATTTCTCTCCTCACGAGCTGTCACGCTGACAGCTCGAGAGGAGAGGAGAGCCGGTAATCGGCATTCCGCGGAGGGGACGTGTACACTGATCATCATCAGGGCACTGATGATCAGTGTGGCCCCAGAAGTGCCACCTGTCAGTGTCCATCAGTGTCAGCTGCCAGTGCTGAACAGTACCACGTGTCAGTGCCACATCAATGCCACATATCAGTGCCCATCTGAGCTGCCTTTCAGTGCCAGTCAGTGCCACCTATCAATGCCAATCAGTGCCGCCTATCAGTGCCATATATTAGTGTTGCCTTTCAGTGCCCATCAGTGTTTCCTCATCAGTGCAGCCTATCAGTGCCCATCACTGCAGCCTGATTAGCGCACATCAGTGAAGGAGAAAAATCACTTATTTACAAAATTTACAACAAAAAATAAGAAACTTTTTTTTCAAAATTTTCAGCGGTTTTTGGCTTGTTTAAGAAAAAATAAAAAACCCAGAGGTGATTAAATGCCACCAAAATAAAGCTCTATCTGTCACAAAAAAATTATAAACATTTCATGTGGGTACAATGTTGCATGACCGTGCAATTGTCATTCAAAGTGTGACAGCGCTGAGAGCTGGAAATTGGCCTGGGCAGGAAGGGGGTATAAGTGCCCTGTAGCCAAGCGGTTAAAGTGGAGCTCCAGTCTCCTGGGGAAAAAAAAAACTGTAGCTGCTGACTTTTTTAAAAAATGGCCACTTGCCTGTCCCTCGAACCTGTAGTGTGCTCACCGCAGCCAGGTTAACCAGCTGTCCTCTGTCCCCGGTGCCAGCATCTTAAGTGTGGGCAGCACTGTGCATTGTGAGAGGTCCCGCAGTCTTCTGGGACCTGTCACGTGTCCCAGAAGACTGTGGGGTGGGAAGAACGTCCACTTCTGATTGCCTAGGCATTTAGTGCAAGTACTTGTTAAAACTGGGTACCTGTCAAAACCCCATCCTTAACGAGTCCTTAAAGTGGATGTTCCCCTTTTGGGTGGAGCTCCGTTTTTAAGAACTTACCTGCACCTAATTCAGGCAAGCATTTGCCACAGTGTCTGTAACCTTACCAGCATGTGACAAATTTGGGTAGTTCTTAATTGCCACCACTTTTAAGAACCTGCCACTATGGCAGCAACAGATTCTTAAGGAATTACCACCAGTTCTCAGATTAGGAAACTTGTAGTTGAATACATCACTGAATTGGTGTACAGAAGCGCCAGTACTCTGGCAGAGTGGGCTTTGTCTGTGATAGAAGGTTATGAATGGGACAGATTGCCACACAGGATCTCAGTAGCCCTATTCAACTGTTGGCAGGATGGGGAATCTCCCAAAAAAATAAGAGTTTTGCATGTGATTTTCGCAGCACACGTGAGGTATCGTCACTAACGTTGGAGCGAGAGCAATAATTCTAGACCTAGACCTCCTCTGTAACTCTAAACAGGTGACCTTTAAAAAAAACCTTTTTTCTCCTGCATGGTTAGCTGGCTGCATGTTTACCTATTTGCTGAACTACTAAGGGTGGCTAAGACCTGGGTGACATGAAACATATCTGGTGGACCTGTCTCAATGAGGATGATATGGACATACTGCATACTATGGTCAACACTGATCTTCTTATTAATTTTTGTAAGAATCCATAGGAAGCCTTTTTGCTTTAACCAATAAAAATGTGTTCACACTCATTCCCATCTTTATGGTTACCAAACATTCGCAAAAGCATGCAAATCTCTGCCACTTAGCTTTGAAGAAGTCAAGAGACTGGTTCAGTGTACCATCTTTAACGGTGATTCTTAATGACACACGATAAAGCCTTACACACTTGGCAGCCTTGGCTTGACCTCTTCCCAATCTCACAGTCGACCCAGCTTTTGGAACTATAAATATGCAGTTACAGAATATAGTCTAACATTTGAGAGTCTCCAACCTCTTTCTCTTTTCCTAACTCGTTTTTTTTTTTTTTTTTTTTTCTTCACTTTTTTTTAATGTACATTTGCTCTTCCTTTTTTAGTATGTTCTACTTTTTAACAGCCTCTCTTTCTCCCATGAATAGTAGCAAAGTCTTTTTCCTCCCCCCTTTTTGCTGATCTTGATAAACCTAACCTTAAATGCTAACTATCTCCAGTTCAGCAAAAGCGTTTGGGGTCTTTTAGTGTCGCTGCTTCTATCACATCATTGGTTCCTCTTCTCTAGTTCATTACAGGAATATGATCCCACTGCAGTCTGTATTCTTACTGCCTGTTCTTATGTTTTGGAGTCTTCTTGTTGGAATTATTATATCTTGCTTGCAAACTGAAGATCGGCCCCTGCATAGGAGCCACTATGTGTGTGTTGTTCATGTGATATATATGCACCACATATTTATTTATTTTTGTTGTCGTGTTCTTTTTCAATAAACACAGTAAAAGAAAAAGGGAAAAAAAATCAATGTATGGCCATTCTCAGCATGTCCCTGACGTAGAACAAGCATGTACATACCCAGTTTTCTGACAGCTCACATGTACACACACTATATTGCCAAAAGTATTGGGACACCTGTCTTTACACACTCATGAACTTTAATGGCATCCCAGTCTTAGTCCTTAGGGTTCAATATTGAGTTGGCCCACCGTTTGCAGCTATAACAGCTTCAACTCATCTGGGAAAGCTGTCCACAATGTTTAGGAGTGTGTCTATGGGAATGTTTGACCATTTTTCCAGAAGTGCATTGTTGGGTCAGGCACTGATGTCGGACAAGAAGGCCTGGCTCCACTCTCCCAAAAGTGTTCTGTCAGGTTGAGGTCAGGACTCTGTGCAGGCCAGTCAAGTTCCTCCACCCCAAGCTCACTCATCCATGTCTTTATGGATCTTGCTTTGTGCAGTGGTGTGCAGTCATGTTGGGACAGGAAGGGGCCATCCCCAAACTGTTCCCACAAAGTTGGGAGCATGAAAGTGTCCACAATGTCTTGGTATACTGACACCTTAAGAGTTCCCTTCACTGGAACTAAGTGGCCAAGACCAACCCCTGAAAAACAACCCCACACCATAATCCCCCCTCCACCAAACTTTACACTTAGCACAGTGCAGTCAGGCAAGTACTGTTCTCCTGGCAACCGCCAAACCCAGACATGACCATCAGATTTCCAGACAGAAGCATGATTCCTCGCGCCAGAGAATGTCTCCACTGCTCTACAGTCCAGTGGGGGCGTGATTTACACCACTGCATTCAACTCTTTGCATTGCACTTGGTGATGTAAAGCTTGAATGCAGCTACTCGCCCATAAAAACCCATTCCATGAAGCTCTCTACGCACTGTTGTGCTAATCTGAAGGTCACATGAAGTTTGAAGGTCTTTAGCTATTGACTCTGCAGACAGTTGGCGACTTCTGTGCGCTTCAGCATGCGATGACCTCGCTCTGTCATTTTACATGGCTGAGTTGCTGTTGTTCCCAGTTGCTTCCAGTTTTTTATAATGCCACTAACCGTTGACCATGGAATATTTAGTTGCAAGGAAATTTCGTGGATGGACTTATTGTAGAAATGGCAAACTATCACAGTACCACGCTTGAGTTCACTGAGCTCCTGAGAGCGACCCATTCTTTCACAAATGTTTGTAGAATCAGTCTGCGTGCCTAGCTTGATATTATACACCTGTGGTCATGGAGGTGGTTGGAACACCTGAATCCAATGGTTTGGAGGGGTGTCCCAATACTTTTGGTAATATATTGTACTTGGTGCAGTTCAGTAACTAACAGTAAAATGAAGGTCATGATCTTAGCCCTAGAGTGCACACTTTTAAAAACAAGACAGCCGTGGCAACTTTCATGCTTCAGCCCTTGGATAGTCTGTTTAAATATGGTCATCTGCACAAAAGATGTTGATTCTGTTTTTAAAAGGACAAATAATGACTGATAAATGTAGTATGTGTGCCAAACAATTATTCTCAAGCAAAATGTATCTGTTTTGTGATGGATGTGTTATTAGAATACACCTCACACTTGCACACTTGCCATCTGGAATATCCTCATCTATCTTGCAGGTGACGGAAATTGGCCAGGGTGTATACTACCGTATGCATGTGCCCACTGGCCATGTACACCAAGTAAAAAAAAAAAAAAAAAAAATGCTACAGGCAAGAGGAAGCTTTTTTTTTTTTTTTTTTTTTTTTTTTTTTTTTTTTGGCAATAGATACATTGCGGGTTTCTCCTGCCAAAACTCCTATCGTGTGTGTATTTGTGGTCGGTTTTTTTTGTTTGGTTTTTTTTTTCCCTCAGTTTAGTTGCACTTTAACCACTTGCCATCCTGAGGACCCCCCTTAATGACCAGGCCTCTTTATGCTATTCAGCTCTGCATTATTTCAACTAATTGAGCAGTCACGCAATGCTATACCCAAACATAATTTATATCCTTTTTTTCACACAATTAGAGCTTTCTTTCGGTGGTATTTGATCACCTGTGCGCTTTTTTATTTTTTGCACTATAAACAAAAAAGTTTTGAAAAATTTTTTTGGAAAAAAAAAAAAAAAAAATATTTTCTCATTTCTATCATAAAATAATATCCAAAAACCTCAAATTTCGTCATAAATTTAGGCCAAAATGTATTCTGCTACATGTTTTTTATTAAAAAATCCCAATAAGTCTATATTGATTGCTTTGTGTGAAAGTTATAGCATCTACAAACTATGGTATAGATCAGCAATGGGCAAACTACGGCCCGGCGGACCTTTTAATCCGGCCCGCGGAGCGTGATACTGTCAGGGTGGCTGTCAGGATGTGTGTAGGCGGGGCAGCGTGACGAACGTGAGGGGAGCTAGGCTCCTCTCACAGTCCGCCCTGAAGACCGGAACGGCGCGGGAACACGGCGAGAGGAACGCGCGGAGCAAAGGTAAGTAAATTGACACAGGGGGGACTTGGGGACTTAATATGGGGGATGAATTACTATATGGGGGATGAATTACTATATGAGGGATTAATTACTATGGGGGAATATTACTATACTTACTATGGATGACACATACACATCATTCATCTACTCTTGGTCCGGCCCCCGGGTCCAATATATGAACCCATTGCGGCCCTCAAGTCAAAAAGTTTGCCCACCCCTGGTATAGATAATGGAATTTATACAGCTTTTACTTTCTGACTGCCCATCGCATTTCTTGAGGTGCTAAAATACCAGGACAGTACAAACACCCCCAAATGACCCCTTTTAGGAAAGTAGACACCCTAAGCTATCTGCTGAGAGGCATATTGAGTCCATGAAAGATTTTTTTTTTTTTTTTTTTTTTGGAAAATGACAAACATATTTTTTAATTTTTTTTTTTCACAAAGTCATTTTAAATTATATATTTCTCACACAAGCCATGGGTATA